CGCAACCAATCCCTATAAGCAGCCGTGACCTTTGAAGTAACGCCTATCTTATCAAAAATTGCAAATTTGGGGGGAGGAACAAGCGAGCCATCAAAATGGCCAAAGAGATCATAGCCTTGGAGCAGCGATTCAATCTGAAAACTCCACTTAAGAAAGTTTTCATCACCAAGACGAATAGTAACCATACCCAAGAGACCTTCAACCTTGATTGATGAAGACGACACCATGAGAAGTAGTGAATCCTGAAGTACAGCAAATCCCTAAATTCAAGAAATCCCTAATCGTAGAACGAAATGAAGATTTGAAGAATGAAAGAACGAATTGAAGAGTCGAAGAACAAATTGAAAAGTTTTGAAGAAAGAAAGAACGAATTGAAGAGTTGAAGAACAAACTGAAGAATTGAAGAATGGAAGAACAAATGAAAGAATTGAAGCAGAATTTGACGAAGGGAAGAATTGAAGAGCGGAAGCAAGAGGATCAAGAAAGAGCGTGAGCGATGCTGGCTCTTGATACCATGATGACAGAAAAGAAAGAGGAGAAGAATTTCAGAAATATCAGAGAAAGATAAATGGAGAAGACTAGAGAATTTCTGAGTTTTCGATTTCAATGAACTAACTCTTACAAAGCATAGCCCACTCTTATGTAAACCAGAGGGACATAACAGACTAACCACACAGCTTAGCTGTCTAACTAATACACGTGCTAAGTACTAGACTTGTAACAAACTTACTGACTTGCTAATCATAGTTAAACATACTAACTATAGTTAACAATACATTATAGAGCCGTGCAAACTCTACATATTTTAATTTTACTTCCATGTCTCCATAATTTATGTTCCAAGGTGTACAACAATCAATTGTTATATAAATATGTAATTATAGAAAACAATTATTCGGGTCCTTGTTTTGGTGAACACCTTCAATTGGTGCCCCTTTTGTCCTTACTGATGTTCATGGTCGTTTCATTTTGTGCCCCTTTGGTGCTTATTGATGTCAACCATCCATAGAAAACAATGATAAACATAAATTTTGATTTTGGGGTTTGGTGCCAATTACTTGTTAATTTCTTCCAATATCGCAAAATTTCAACGTCTTATGGCATATAAGGACATGAAAAACTTCTAAACGAAACATTTTCTTTTAACAACCAAGGATGGTTGACACATAGACTGCATTTAAATTTGCAAAGACACTTCAAAAGTTGAATAAAAAAGTGACAGAAACATTTGAGTGAAAACTTTCGACCGGTCATCCCTTTATAAAAAGAGTATTGAATCCTTGAAGCTAAAAAGAAAGTTTGTCAAGCACTAAGGCAACGTGTAATTGACTAGATTTTCAAGTGTACATGCGAGGAGAAATAGTTTGTCTTTGGATCTTCTAAGACAATCTATAAGATGAGAAAGAAAAAGTCAATGTTTATATAGATATATGTTCTGGTATCACATGAAAAGGATGGCATCCACAAATCATATTGATTTCATTTGGATGCCAATTTGATACCTTCTATATCATGTGTTAAAAACAAGTAAATGGTTTTAAAATCACTATCATCGTAGCATTATTAATCTATGTTTCATAACATAGGATGAGCTAAGTTTATATTGTTGAGAGTATAAATATGACGTGTTATAATATAGGTGAATTGATAACACCACGTGACAGTGTTACAGTTATACTTAAAAAATTTCACACCCCTACAAAAACCCCCTCCCTTAATCCAACTTTTATTGGTTCATGGCACATGGAACAATAAAAACCTAACTCGAACTCTGTCTTTAAAACACAATTGACAAAAGATCTTGACCATATATATTGATTTATGTTTTTTTTCAGATCGTAGTAGTGAAATATTAATGTAAATGATTGTCTAAGGCTAGTGACGCCACCTATTGGGCCAATAATGGCAGCGATTGGTCCAATGTAGGTGGCTTTTGGGCTTGGGATGCTGGTAATAGAAATACCTTTCCATCACCCCCTATGCAGGTGGCTCTTCTTGCATATCTCTCATCGACTTAGCAGACCTGGGTGATCGAGGATATTGAAAAGATTGTACGCACAAAAAAAATGATCACTCATCCCACACTCCGAGTCGAATTCCGATCATCGATACATCGAATTCTGATCATCGATACATCGGATAAGTGATCAGAGAGCGTGGGGGAGATGTGAAGTGAAATAGATAAAGTGTTATTATCTGTTTTCAAGAGGAGTAATCCTACTGTTCTACCATTTATCTAAATCATAAGTTGACACACGATTCACATAAGTTGATTTTGTGGTAAACAAAACAACAAATTCTCATTGGTGAAGTCAGGATGTCATCATATAGGAGAACAATTCTCTCTTCCCATCCACAAGATGTTAATGAAAATAGCCAAGAACCTGGCCCCCCACATTACGTTTAACAGCCTCTTCGTGATCCAGCACCCCTTCGGGAGTAGTAATCACAACATAACCCCACTGCATGAGGCGAGAGAAAGACCATTTAAAAAAAATTCCAAACACAGATCTTCCCAGAAATAATAAAATGGACAAATATGAATCAAGTAATTTTGACATATCTTTCGACATCAGGAGGTTAACAAACCTGGCGGGTTGGAAGCTTTTGCATTTTGTACTCTTCAATATCCTTTGCCTTGACATCCTGTCTGTAAGTAAGAGCTCTACAATCATTAACCCTGCCTTGTAGTTGAACAGTTATCTTCCCCACTCTATGTGGATCAAAAACTTGAAAATCCTTGATATAACCTAAAGAAAATGTGCCAAGCGCAAGCATTACAACACGCAACAAATTAGAAAATGAATTTGGACATAATATAGATTAAAAAAAAAACATGCAAGAACGCAGTGCTGTGTACCAATTAAAGAATATCATATACCCCAATTCAAACAACCCATCATCATTTACAAGTTGCCTGTAATGTAAATTTTCTAATACCCAGTTCTACAGCCATCACACAGCACAAATTTATTTAATCCACTATAACCTTGAACTATCTCATCCAAGCATTCCTCATTATGCCTCACATCAGAATCAAGATAGTATTATCAGTGGGGAGATTCTCCAATAATTATTTTATGTTAAGGATTGGTTATATACTTCTAATCTTGGCCGTTGAATTGCATTCATTAAATGTACTTGTAGGCTATTAGAAGCAATCCAGCAGCCGAGATTAGAAGTATGTAACCAATCCTTAACTTAAATACATATTGGAGAATGTCCCTTATCTGCAATTCACAAATGGATCACAAATTGACATTGAAATCCATGACACCAACAAAACTAATGTAAATGACGGCATTTGACATCGCGATTAAGTTTAGAAATATAAAATATAAAACATTATATGTGCACTAAAGAATAATTCCTGGAGCTCATACCAACTAAGTCCTAGAGATCCTTAATCACTACAAGTTTACTGCTTTCAAAACCCTCCCACAGATATAAATTTTAAAGCAACCCAGATTCTTAAAATAAATAGTAATGCATAAAAAAAAAGTTGATTTATTATTAATTAACAAAATCCATCTAACGAGGAGTATGGATTTACCTCGATTTTTCATGATTTTGAGGAAAGATGACATGACTGTAGAGATAGGTTGCAACTCCACTGTAGCTTTCCCCCTTCTCTCTGCATTCACTATTGTTCGCAATGCATTATTCAGTATCATTCTCCCCATCCTTCTCTTTGAAAAATCTAACCCTCAAATCCCACGGACCAAACAGAAGGCTCTGTTAAGAACAAAATGTTATGTTTGTGACCAATTTAATAAAAAAATAAAACACAGGTTACACAACCAGATCCTTATAGGCTTACAAGAATGTAGAGACGAGACTATCAATGGGAAAATCTGGAAAGGGGAAACTCAGACATGATAGAAAGAAAAGAAAGTTACCTTTTTGGCCTTTCCAGAGCCAAAAACAAGGCCGGAAGATTGGGTGGCGCTGCCGAACAGGGTAGTGTGCGACTGTAGGAGCAAGTGAGGCTGTCGGAGTCTTTAAGATGGGAGAAAGAAATGAAGAAGAGAGGAGGGGGCAAAGGAAGGCCTTAAGGCTGCTTGGTTCACACACACATATTTCACTTGGGTCTGGTGGGCTTCCAGGGCTGAGGTGGTAATGGGCTAATGAAGAGTGTTGAACCTTTTTGAGGGTTGTATTTGGAGACGGTGAGACCCATGATTTAATTTTTTTTAATGACAACAATACCCCTCCTCTTGTTGCCGTTGACCGCCACCTCGTGGCGAACCACCAATGACCTCCTCTCCATTTGTGACCACCATCGCCCTTCCTTTTTGTCTTTATTTCTCGAAGTCTTCTTTTATTCTTGTAAATAATGATTTAAAAGTATCTACAAAGGAAATGTCAAATATAAATTATCGAATTTAAATTTGATGACTTATTAGAAGGTCAAGTTATAATTGTTGAAATAGATTATATAGTAAAGAGATTGGTAAAGCCCTACCTACCAAACTCAAAAATCTCGTGCTAAAGAGCGTGGAGGTTATGAGTCATCGTCAAGACATAATGTTGAATTTTAGAAATGCTCATTCACTAGGCAACTAAGCACCCATTGTTCAACTCTTTGGCAACATGGAAACCAAAAGCTCTATCTATCCAAGAAGAACTGGACATGATAATTTTTCATCATCTAGCTTGAGCACGAAAATTTGACATTGTGCAAGGGTTTTGTCTTGGCTAGGATAAAACAGAAAGTTATTTTCAATTTGGGGCACAACTCTTACCCCAAAACAAAAAAGAAAAAGAAAGATAAATGACCTATTAGTGTAGTGGTTTGGAGTAATTGCTCTCTAAGAAAAGGTCTTGGGTTTGAATCATAGCATTCGTGTTGTATGTGTAAGTTGAATATATTATCGTCCCTTTCTTAAAGATTTAAAAAAGAAAAAAGAAAAAGAAAGGTACTAAAGCGACGCCGTTTTGGCATGTCAGGAAACAATAAAGAAATAATAAACAAATTAAAATACGGAAGGCATAAGAAACTGTATTGTTGTGTGAGTTTTGGATTTGAGTTTTCTGCTTTTTAAGAGATTGATAGATAGAAAACAGAGAGAGTAGCGGCCATGGCGACGACGTCGGTGGATTCTCCAAAGCCTGACACAGACACTGACACTGAGCTGGATACCAATCCCAACCTCAACCCTAACCCTAATTCTTCGAACTCGTTAGTCCCCGCCTCCTCCAATGGCCCTGCTGTCTGCCTTCTCAGGTTCGCCGGAGACTCCGCTGGCGGCCTCTTCTTCTCTCTGTGTATATGTATATATATGTGTACATGCCTATGTGTGTGATGCTTTAATTGCTTAATTGTGGTGTTTCTATATGGGAATTTGAATGATGCTCATATAGGATTTTGAATGTTGACAAAATATGATTTTCTTCAATAGTGTTTTGGGGTTTGTGAAAAGGAATGAGTTTTCTCTTACTGACTAACGAGCTGTTGGAGTTTTTTGGTGAGGTATGCTAGTGTTTTGAGATGTGAAATTGTGATTTTTAGGGAAAATTTGTGTTATGTTAGTTGATTTATTGTATTAAGGAGTGTAATTTGTATCATTTCCTGCTGGAATTGATAAGACGGTAGAACAATAAATTGGGGTTCAGTTGATATATTGAGAGAGAGAGAGAGAGAGAGAGAGAGAGAGAGAGCGGGTGGGAATTGCACAGTGTAGTCTAGCTTATGTATAGACTTGGAGAGAAATATGTTCATTGCGTGTACCAAGCTGTTAAAAGTTGTTGTGAGAAAATTATGATTGTCTGTGGTTGTTAAGGTTTACTCAGGAGTCATTCCACCATGTTTGTATAATGCCAGTCATTTCTTTGTGCCATGTTCACATAATGAGGGCGGTAGGACAAGCCAAGCCACTCAAACTTGGCTTGAGTTTGGCTGGATTTATTCAGCAATCACTGTGCCATGTTTAGATAATGCCAGGCATTTCTGTGTGTCATGTTCCACATAAGGAGGGCATTAGAACAAACGAAGCCACTCATACGTGGTTTGGATTTAGGTCAATATTGTGTTTCTCAATTTGGCCCTGAAATTTTGTACTTGTTAAAAAAGCTAGAGATTTGAGACTGGCTTGATATCAAGTTTAGCAATGGATTATTAGATGAGCAAACCCTGCTTAAGCAATCTACTACTCAACTCAACCTAATTTATCTTCTTTTTTATTTTATTTTATTTATGTTTATGTCTTATATGAATCAAACTGAAATTTTTTATTTTACCTTGTGTGAATGTGTTTCAGGTGCGGGGTTGGTTAAGAAAAAAGGCTTTAAAGGATCCTTTGCAGAGGCAGGATCTTATGCTAAGGTATGAGAATTCCTTTTGTTAAATGATAGTTTGACTATCTGAGTGAAATTAGTTCCCTTTTTTATATTCTTCGTAATTGTTATTATTGCCTACACAGTATGTTTGTTTAATTACAGTTGTTAAGCTCTTTTTTGTATTTCTCCTTTCAGACATTTGCAGTTTTGTCTGGAGTGCACAGCTTGGTTGTCTGCATTTTGAAGAGGCTGCGAGGAAAGGATGATGGTATGAGAACTTGAATGTGGAATTGGTACTTTCGCATTATTCATTCATTATCTCATGATCATGCTTTTTTCCTGTGCAGTTATCAACGCTGGAGTAGCTGGATGTTGTACTGGTCTTGCTCTTAGTTTTCCAGGTATCCATCATATCATCTAGTTCAATAGTTTATAAATTAGTAAATGACACATTGACTTGCACACATCTTCACCGTCATTACAGATTCAGATACCTGAAAAGAAGTGACACATTGATTTTGTTGCTAAAACAAGATCCTTCATATCTACAAAAATCCCACTTTTCGTTCTTATTCATTTTTGTTTTGTCACTCATGCTTGGCATTTCTACATCAATCAACTAAACCAGTTTTTGTATGGTTTAATGACGTACATATTTATTCGTTATTTGATTGTGATTTTGCAGGTGCACCCCAGGCTCTTCTACAAAGCTGCCTCACTTTTGGAGCATTCTCATTTATTATTGAAGGCCTAAATAAGCAGCAGCCAGCTTTGGCACATCCACTTTCTGTGAGGAAGAAAAGTGAGCAACTTCCTCCCTTGGTGCTCCCTCTTCAACTTTCACTTCCAGGTGAACTAAAAGCGGGTTTCACCTCATTTTGCAATTCCTTGAAGAATCACAAGAGGGGCACTTCTCACACAGCCTAAGAAATTTTGTCTCATCATGCTTTTATGCCGTTTGGTCTTGAATTCAAAGTGTTCCTCTTGCTGTTATTTTTTCTTCTATTGCCGGGTAAGACATGATTGTATGTGGTATGTAAATTTTTAGTTGAAATTCTAGTTGCAAGTTATGAATTCACTTCTTGATTGTGAAATCTGGTAGATTGATGGTACACATTGCTGGTTTTGCCGGATTGAGGAGCCATGAATTTGATCCTCCATTTCTGACTCTGTTTTGCAAGTCACACTTTTCCTCACATCTCAGTGACAAGTGATGACGAAAAGGAAGAAGAAAGAAACAGTTTTCAACTTAACACAAACTCTAAACAGGCCCGCGATTCTGAGGCCTTCAAAACTTGGGATCCTACCATCTTTGATTGCAATATCTTGTGATTAAAGTAAATAAGATAATCAAAGATTTTTCTTTTTTTTAGTGCCAGAAAATCAAAGAATTGCGCCACATCAAAACAAACTAAAATGACTTTATTTATTTATTTTATTTTTGTATATTTTTTTTACAATAGTGAATTAAATAAACAATACTGGAATGCTTGAGTAGAAAAGAAGTTTATATAAAGATAATTTATTGAGGCTAATACGTTTTGAAGGATTTGACAAAACTACCCCAAAATTTGCCGTGTAATTTTTAAGATAAGCAGTTAGCAGTGAAGTTGGGTTCATGAACTTTATGGTTAATTATGCATTTGGATGGAAAGATTTAAAAGAAAGGCTATGGATTTTGCTAATTAGCGCTAACATGGAAAGTGTTTTTGAGAACCAAATTGCCTTCTCCTCATCCTGACAGTGATAATCAGGAAGGATATTTTTCTCTTTAATAATGAAAAATCTTGAAAGATATTATTAGGAGGCGAGCAGTATCAAAAACTACCTATACATATATAGTTCCCTTCTATTGACGGAGAATTGATGGTAGATGTTGCAAAAATGGAGTGAGATCTTCTGAAGCTCTTATTATCTCACAATAATATATGTGACTCCGATTAATCTTGGATTGGATGATGACTAAAAAGGAGAGTATCAGAACTGGCACTATCTTATAATTGATATCAATCACCTCACCATATCTATAAATACCACACCTTCCTCCTTTTCCTTCTCACCTTTTCTCCTTTTCTCTTTCAGAAAAAAAAAAAACCCTAGTTTCATAGACATCATCTAGGTCTAGCAATGGAGTCTCGTTCTTACATGGTATATATCTTCATCCTTCATTTTGTTTACTATTTCTCTTCAGTTTTTCTTTGTTAGTTAATTTATTGTATGTGGATTATGTCTGCCTTTACAGACTTGTGGAGTGAAAATCGACACGAATTCGGATGGATGGCACAAGTGCCTGACTAAAATGCTGAAAAAAATCCAAGGTAAAGTACCTCTGTCGTCCATGGCAATTTGTTTGTCTTTTTTTATTTTATCTTAACAATATCACTTTTGGCATGAAGTATTGAAGTCTTCGTGTTTTTATTATATGTATATAGGTGCATCTTATAATGTAGATGCAGAAGGAGGCATGGCATATGTTTCTGGGAAAGTAAACCCTAGGAAGCTAATAAGAAGGCTAGTGAAGGCTGGGAAAGAAGCAGAACTCTGCTGGGTAAGAACTGGAGATGAATTTACATATGGCAATGGCAATGGCAATGGCAATGGATATTATGAAGGCCAGAGATATTATGATCCCAGCAGCAGTAACTACATGGGATTAACAGCAGGCCCTAATTACTATAATATGAATGGTAATTATGGACATGGATATTATTCTTCATACAGCCACCACCATGGACATCCTATGAACAATTACTATCCACAGGCGCCATATTCATATAATTATTACTGAATATGAATTGGCTCACCTGATTTTGATTTCAGGGTTGTTGAGAAAAACTCCCTTTTTTTTTTTTTTTTTTTTTTTTTTGGGTTTGAAAGGGAAGAACTCCTTGTATAATAGTAGTATTCATAGTGTTCTTTTTTTTTGTTTGGGCACTATAACTATGCATGGAGTTATAGACTTAGTCTACCTCTAGGAGGAAAGTGATATTATGTGGACTTTCCCCTAGATGTATGCTTTTTTGTTTTTGTTTTTTACGTTTTTTTTTTTAATTAAAAGGATTTCTATAATTATTGTTATATTATATTTTCCTTGTTATTTGACTATATCAGATTCTGAGCCTTTATTAGGATTAAATATTGACACTCATCTTTGATGTAGTTTTTTCCGATCAATAATTGTATGGAAGATTCGAACTTAGAACCTCTTAAGATTTTGAAAAGATAAATTTCTAGTTAGTATGTCTTGTCACATTTTGTGTAATAATTAATCTTTATCCATGTGAGACCCAATTTAACCTCACGTCACATTCACACAATTCATCATAATAGCAACCAAAAAAAAAAAAAAAAAGAAAAGAAAAAAGAGATGATTATCTACACTGATTTATGGCCAAATTAATTTCAGTTATCATGTAACTATTTTAATTTTCGTCTTGGTTAATTTTCAAGACAAAGACTTGGGAAAATTCTTGGGTGTGGCCTTCAAATTGGTAAGGGATGTTACCATTCTAAGTGATAGAATATGGGTGGGTAATCACATGACAATATGATCGTCTAAACTTAGAACATGTATCAGACCCAAACAAAAAAAAAAAAAAAAAAAAAAAACCTTAGAACATGTCATTTTAGATATTGGATCGAATGGTCTGTTGTGGGGCAATGTTCTCTCTTTTATGATTTAAAATCTGTCCGAACTGAAACCAACCGAAATTGTTCACTTCAAGTTTTTGTTTTCATTTTTATTACTCCTTCCCATCCTCTCCTCTCATCTTCACTCTCAATTCCATCTCCTCATTACCACTTCCATTCTCCCTTTTTTGCCTTTATACTTTAGCACAAAAATTAAAAACTAAAAATTAAAAATTAAAAATGAAATGGTTATCAAACGGCCCTTATTATATCACTTACCATACATCCTCAAACAGCTGAATATTTCACCATATTAGATCTAATATCAAATCTTCTTATGCAATAATTCTAGTGGTTAAAAGTATTTATCCGTGCCTTCAATTGGTCATAGGTTCTGCTACATATAAGGCTCGAGCTAGTAAAGATTTGAGTTTATAAACTCTGGGTAACTACAAAATCTCTGTTTCAGTTCACAATTTGCATTGTACATTTGCAATCTTTTCATTTGATACTTACATAAACCATCCACGTGTTTTGCAGGTGCACTATTCTCCCAGGCTAGCTCTTCTGTGCAGATGCCGCATCCATATATGGATTGGTGGTATTCTCTCAGACACAGACACTACTGGTACAACCCTCTATCTTTTGGGTTTGCTCCAATGAACTGAATGAAACAAGAGTAGAATGTAATTATGCGTTTTCTATTATATATGGCACATTATTTTTGGTTCTGCTGGTTGAATTTAGAGTAAATGGCTATTTGCCGGCTCCATAATTCATAAACAATTTTCACAAAAGACAGCAATTTCAGCACCTTTAGTCAGCTACTTACTTTGTTGGCTTTAATTTTTTTTTTCATTTGAATGTTTCTTTACAACAATTTGAGACACACAACCAAGTTCCTACGCTAAGATAGTGACCTCTAACCAATCCCCAGTGTCGTGATTTATTGGCGGGTTAATTAAAACCTTTTGCCTCAATCTTTCTGGGGAAGAGTTTATTGAAGATTGCTCCTTTGCAGCTTCATCATATATATCTTATACAGTTTACTTTATTTTCTTCGTAAGGCAATCAACTTATTTGTCCTTTTCTATCAGTCATTTAAATTTGACAATTGACTAATTCCAAGTAAAACCTCAGACTGTTTTTGTTTTTAATCCAATAAATTCTCATGACCAATCAGTTGAGTTGTGGAAGATTGTTTACTTCTGCTACAAGTTTGGTTACAAGTAGGTTACTCAAAGGTTATAAATGGGTTCCATCTGAGTTAGTTCTTTCATAAATTTTTATGCAAAGCAATAGCAAGATGACTGACAAGGTGGTTGTGCCCATTGCCTATAAGGTAGCAGGCCGAGCTCGAGCTACTCATGTGTTTCTGTTGCTTATGTTAACCCAATTGTTTGTTATGGCAGCAGAGGCAAATACTCAGGACTGTAAGTTTTGTTCTTTACTGTGTCATTTTTTTTATAGTGCAGCTGATCAGGTTTTCTTCCTTAGTGTTGGTAGTTAGAAGTTAGAACCATTAGCTGTTTCCCCTGTTATACGCAAAAAAAAAAAAAAAAAAAAACAATTAACCATTTAGCCTTGAAGATTACTTCAGTTTAATTAATTATTTAATTTCAATTGGTTTTGTTTCGGGAGGAATGGGGTTTAACGGGGGTATCTGTCGCATATTAGTGATAATAACCTTGGAAATATCTCTCCAGACAAAGGTTTTGTTAACTATTGTAATCTTGTATATGTAACTCTTCTTCTCCACAAGACTTAAGTGACATGCATAAGTTTGGTGGATTAGCATAAGAGTTATAGAGTGTGTTCAAATCATTTGTCCATGGAGGTTGGTCCAATATTGTGAAATGGTTTTGATTTTATGGTGATGATTGTTTTGAGCAATTTGGAAGAAGTTAATAGACTTGATGTTGTTTGAGTTTCTGAAGCAGTTGTTAGGTGCGATCCTGTTTGATAAATTGCTTCAGTAAATCCGAATCCTTTCAAAGCTAAAGTTAGTCACAATCATATGAGTGCTGTAGTTCTAATGGCAGTCAACGGATTCTAGTAAGTATTTCAGCTTGACAAATTTCTGATGCAGTTTCTGCTCTGACGATTCTAATGCAAGAGTGGGGCATTAGACCTCCCAGTTGGGTTGGTTCAGATCCTTGTGCTGAGGGCTGGGAAGGTATTGCGTGCTCCAATTCACGTGTTACCTCCATGTAAGTTCTTGATCTGTTCCCACCTTTTTAACGTTCGTGGAAGCACTTGGTTCCATTTATTTTTTATTTTTGACAATGATCTGACTTCTTTAATTTCAGAATGTTGGCAAACAGGGGTTTGACAGGTCAGCTACCTAGCGCAATCCAGTTGTTATCTGAGCTAGAGATTCTGTAGGTCTTCTATTTCCACTTTGCACCTTACACTAGTTATGGTACATGATTTACGCCTAATCTGTCATCCATAATCTAGCATGGAGTGCCAGATATTTCAAGGTTCAGTGCTCAATATGCGGCATTGACTGTCTTGGATCATC